GATTCTCTCTCTCTCTTTTTTTTTTTTCAGATTTTTTTTTTTTAATAGAGGCATGTTTTTATTTATTTATTTGTTTGTTTGTTTGTTTTGTTTATACAAGCACTGGGTACAGTCAGAGGCGCGGGAGGGTGAGAGGATTCACCAGAACCAGAGCGGGGAGCAGAGCAGGCAGAAGGACCGAAGTACACTGCTGAGGGGAGCAGCGGGCGGCAGGAGAGGTCTGCGCGCCATGTGGGACCCTCACCGGTGGCCGGGGAGCAGCCGGGGATTGAACCGGCGCCGCAGAGGCTGCGGGCAGCTTCGCAACCCAGCGCTCAACCGCTGCGCCACCGGGGAGGCCCTCTCTCTCTCTTTTTTTTTAGCAACAGTGAAAGTATTATTTTTTATTGAGGTAACATTCATTTTCATCGTGGCCATATTTTGGCAGTGCTGGATCCCCCCTCCCTGTGCAGTTATGGTAGCATGCCCTCCACCAGAGCACCCCAGCCCCCCTCAGCCCACTGGTTTCCCTCCCCTCTGGCTGCTTCAGTTCTTTTGTCAACTGTCAAGGGCCAGTTTTGAGCCTGACTGCGTCTGCCCCGCATGGCTTCTCCGCATGCCACGTGTGAGTGACCAGGAAGCTCGCCCAGCCCTCGTTCCTGCTGTCCACCTCCTACCAGCTGAGCCTCCGGGGTGGACACGCTCACATCTACCTGCTCCTCTGGGGAAGCTGCGGGCAGACCCCTCCCGCTCCGTCCACTGCTGCTTCTTGCTGCCGAGTGCTGGGCAAGCTCGCTGGTTCCTCACTAAATACTGCTGCCTTTCAGATTTACTGTCAGTGAGCAGACCCCACGTGGCACGGCAAGGCGAGGGGGGTCCCCTACTCATTCCCTGGGTACCTCTTGCTGCTTCCCCGGCCTAGAGCGGCCAGTTCCCAACGCCACAGGCGGGTCGGTGTTCTGGGCAGGGCACGCACTGAACACCAGAGCAGCGGGTGCAGAGGGGCTGCGGCTCACCCCTCGTCCGGGCACGTGAGGCAAATAGCAAACACCTGCCACCTTCCAGGGGCTTAATCTAACACAGGTGAATGAGTCTCTGCTCGCGGGAAAACGAGGCCTTATATCTAGGGTGGAAAGTCACCTCCTTTGCAAAGTTTTCCTGAACCAGTTACAAATAAAGCTCTGTTTTCCCACTTACAATGGACCATTTTAGTCTAATGAGCTTTTCTCATTATGTGGAAATGACTTGCACTAAAACTTTCACAAACTGCAAGTGGGTCGCTGGTGTTCAGCGGACACGGCTGCACCATCCAGAGTCCTGCTTGCTTGTCGCAAGCCTGCAGCGGCCAGGGCATGGCCACCAGCAGACCACGGGGTACCTGGGGAGCCTGGAGGTGTTGGCCTGCCCCAGGCCACCCCCCTCATGGCCCTGCCAGCACTCCTGAAGCCCGCAGGGCACCCTCCCCTCCCCTCGGCTGCGACACACCCTCCCTGGCTCCGCTGTCCTGTGGGATCACTGAATTCACACCATGTAGGACGCTTGTGGGTACAATAAGGAAGAGGCAACTAACTGTGACCTCAGTGCTAATGAGTCACTGCAGAGACAGCAAGAAGCCAAGTGTAAAGAGACCCCAGCACAGCACAGGACGCCCAGGCATTCCCTCTCTGCACTGACAGCCTCGGCTCTGGGCCTGGTCCGGGTCCCAGGACACTGTAGTGGGAGGCCAGCGTGGGTCGGGACACCCAAGGGCACCAGGACAGAAGCCGCCGCTGGTGTTCCGTGGGGAGGCGGGGTCAGTCTCTGCGCACGCGCGACCTACTCCAGGTGACTTCTTGTATCGCGCAAGGACTGAGCCCCACGCAAGAGCCTAAACCAGCGGCAGCTGGAAGGGGATGGAGACGGTGGGTTTGCTTGAGACAAAGATCACACGGCCCTCCCCGTCCGCGAAGCCCAGGCCCGGGCAGGACCCGCAGCCAGGCCCGTGTCGGCAGGAGGGCGGCGGCCGTGGGCAGACAGTGCTGCCCTCAGCCCTCACGGGAGCACGTCCAGGAGTCAGGACAGGACTCGCCCCAGCTCCGCGCCGCCGCAGACCCCAGCTCCGCGCCAGGCATCTCTCCTCCCTGCAGCCTCTGATGCCACCTGCGATAAGGACGATTCGGAGCGTTCTTGGCTAATTATTCAATTCCCATGTTGTAGCAATATCTGAAAAACAGAAGTGAAAAGATAAATGATCTTTTTGGTAAAATCCCTTAATCTTGAAGTCAGGGTGTTACGCAGCATAAAATGTATGTTCATTACACTCATTAATTCTTACGCTCTCCCGGGGCTGCTCGCATTTGCTGTCTCCGGATAGGTGAGGGCATCCGGCTGAGGAGAGCGGCAGGAGCCATGTCCCTAAGCGGCCAAGCACCCGGTGCAGGGTCAGCACCGTGCAGTTTCCATGCAGGCCCCGTGCCTGCGCTGTTGAGATGCCGCAGGAATTGCAGGCTAGGACGTTCCCGACTGGCACGGAACCACCGACTGGCACGGAACCACCGACTGGCACGGAACCACCGACTGGCATGGAACCACCGACTGAGCAGAGCACACCAAGGTGGCCCCAGTCGCCTGGTCAGCGAGGAACTGACAAAGGCCGGCCCTGGAGAAGGTAACCAGCCGGGGAGAGGCGGTCTGGTCAGGGAAGCAGGGAACTCAAGAGAAGGGGCCGCTGGCCACAGAAAAGCCGCTAAGGCCTGGGGTGATGGTGTGCCCCAGGGCTGCCCGCAGAGCATGGTCAGTCATTCCCACACCAGGAGAGCCCAGCCCCGGCCGATCACAGCCTCAGCCTGCGGAACGCACCTTCCTGCGGGGAGAGACTGAGCTGGCCTCTGCCCACCGCCCGGGACACCCGCGGGGAAGCCACCTGGTGTCACCCACGCGGCTTCCGCAATTTCTCTGACCCGAACCACACATAACTTCTGAAGATGCAAATTTGTAAAGCGTCACGGTTGTGTATTGCATGTTTGGCGTCTACTTTAGTTTTTAAGAATGGATGTTGTCTAATTATGCAGAGGAGCTTTGGATGAGGAAATATACTAAGTGTGCATTAAATAGACAACTTTAAATAATGGCACTTGTGCTAAGAAGTGTATTTTCTGGCAAGCAACTAATTTATAATGGTCATAGATAAATGCATTAGTGTATGAAATGCTTGTCTTTATTTATTGATTTGAAGGGGCAGCATTATACTTCTGAATATGTCTTCTTTATTGGGTCTGTTTTCCATCTTTTACAAAATTGCCCATATTTTATGTTTGTTGACATTTGCTGCACTTAAATGTTGGAAAATGGAAGCAATTTTACCGTTAAAAAAAAGTCCACGTGAAGTTGACTCCCCTTGCTTTCTGCACCGGGCAGGCGGGAGGGGCGGCCGGCGCGCCCCGCCTGCCCCAGCCCCGGCCCCCGGGTGCCGCCGAGGCCGGAGCTGAGCGAGGCCTGGATGGACCACGCCCGCTGCAGCGCTGCCCGGGCCCCTCGCTGTGCCCGGCCGCTCGCGCCGCGCTGGGCCTTTGCTTTGGGGGTGAGGACGGGGGACGCTCCGCCTCATTCCCTGAGTGTCCAGCGCCCCGGGCGCAGCTGCCTTGCGGGTCTTTACAAATGACCCATCCCGGCAGCCCCGGCCATGGATGTCGGGCCATTAAACGCTTGTGCCGGAGCGTCCCGGGCCGTGAGCCCCGACGGCGGGGACAGCCTACCGCGGTGGCAGCCCCCGCCCCCCTCTGCTGCCCAGGCCCCCCGCGCCGGCTGAGGGGAGGTCTCTGGTTAAAGGAAGCCGCGGGCCGCGCTGCGGGACCAGAAGGTGCGGGGGCCTCGGTGCAGACGGCACTGACCCCCACGAATGCCCCCGAAGTCGGCCGTCGGGTTTGCTCTGCGAGGAGACGGCACGGGCTCGTCCTCCCTGGTCACCCGTGGCCGGGGCCCCGCGAGGGGCAGCTCCACGCGCCGCCCTCTGCGCTCCCGGGTTCCAGCCGCCTGCGCGCCCGGCCGGCGGTCCCTGGGGCGCCCGCGGAGCGAACGCGCGGGAGAAGCGCGCCCCGCGGGCCCGGGGCCACCCGTCCGCGCCCGGGGCTCGGCACCTGCCGTGCGGCCCGCTCAGGGGAGCAGCGGCGGGGTCCTCTGGCCGGCGGGCGCCAGGCCCGGAGCTGCCCGCTCCGGCCTTTCTTTATCGCACCCGTGAGAGCCGGTGGGCCCGGCTGTGCGTGGCCAGCCCAGGACCCCAGGATCAGGCGTGAATCTGGCGTCGCTGGAGATCAGGCTTCCGGGTGGCCGCAGGGCGGGGAGCGCCCCGGGGCCCCCCTTCTGGAGGGCAGAGGGCGGCTGGTGTCCAGCGGGAGACGAAGGCGCGGCTGGTTCTGCCCCCTCGTCCGGAGAGCGGCTGTGGGGGCGGGAGGCCCCGGGGGCTCCGCCAGGCCGCGAAGGAGGAGGCCCTGGCCACGCGCCCCCAGCCCGGCCCCGCCAGAGGAGGCTGGACGCAGCGCGGCTCTTTTGTGCGGCCGTTTCCGCCTGACTGAACCCGAAAATAAACACCTTCGCTCTGGATCGTTCCTGTTTCATTAACACCTTGGCCGAGCGCTTTGGCCGAGGAGACTGGATTGCGGTGCTCGCTGGATTACCCCGCGCAGGGCAGGGTGGCCCTCGGTACCGGGGTGTCCACTGCTCCCCTCTCGCTAGCCCACGTCCAGCTCGTTACACACACACGCATACACACGCACACACACGCACGCACACCCCAGAGGAGAAGCACATGCACATTGGAGTGCACAAAAAAAAGACAGGCAGGGAACAAACAAACCCAGGCAAGCTATTTAGGGCACGGGTCCCACCGGGTTTCTCTGCAAAGCAGTTTAACTGTAGTTAGTAAGTGCTCAGTGTAATCTAATAAAAGGCATTTTGCAATATTAAGCAAAAAACATCTGGTACCCAGAATTCCCTGATCATTTTTAACTAGATGCAATCTCTCTCCCTTTCTCTTTCTCTTACAGACATGTGAAAAATAGCCTAATAAGGATCCTTGTGGTAAAATCAGATGGAAAACGGGGAGGAAGAGCTGTGCCGTCTCCAGCAGCTCATTTCAGGCAGTCCTCCGAGTTTCACAATAATAATCAGTGCTGGCCCAGTGCCGCCGGATTATTTTGTATATTCATGAAGCTGCTCATCAGCCGTCAGGAGAATGCGCAGTAATCCTTGGATGAAATAAGGCCAATCAGTGGAATAATGAGGAAGGTAATATCTCCCAAGAGGCCCGGAGTGGGTTTTCATCAAACCGGGCTGTAACTCTCCAACTATTTGCTTTACAAATGCAGCCTTTGATCTTTGATTTGGGGAGCGGAGGGGAGAGACAGCCTCGCCGGTGGTGTCCAGCCTGCAAGGATAAAAAGCTGGCTCTGGAGGAAGATGGGGGGACCTGGCTTTTAAGTATCAGTCAGTTCTTGTTAACTAAAACCTCAGAGCCTTTTATTTACTGGGCCCTGATATATATTCACTTAGCGGGTCAATTGCCAGGAGGCTTCCCTCCCCTCTGCTTAATCTTCCACACATGCAGATGTGAGGACCGGAAGGCGTTCCTGTCAGAGCTTGGGCTTGGTAACGACCCACCCTGCTTCTGGCTGGAAAGCAATGGAGACTTCCTAATGAGCCCTGGGAACCCTCGTGGGCCGTGAGATCAAGCAGGCACCTACGCCAGGAGGGGCTCGAAGGGCTGAATTGCATCTTATTTCTTCGCCTTCAAGTCAAAAAGCAAAGCCAAAGACAAAGAGGTGCAGATGAAATACACACTGCAGGTGGTCCCGGCGTCCCCTTCCAAGATAAACCAGCCAGCCCGGAGGTGAGGAGCCGCACCCTCACCTGGCCCGCCGGGCTCCCGGTCTGGGGTCCGGGCGAGGCGCACAGGTGCACGCAGCCCTCAGCAAGCCTGGCGGGAGGGGCCAAGCCCAGATTTCCCTCTGCCCACCGCGCTCCCTGCTGCCCCCCCTTTCCTCAGGCCGCGTGCTTGGCCCCCATCCTTGATCTCCCTGCAGGCCTTTCGAGCCTCCCCCCGCAATAAGTGAGGCTCTTTCCTCATCAAATAACCACGCTTTGCATTAGTCGAAAAGACAAGTTGGCTGAATATTGAATTCCCGAATTGCAATGTACCTCTGAATTGTACATTCGTGGAAAAGTATGTCCCTTTTCACCTACCTTATCAGACCAAAAAAAGAGAGAAAAGCATAACCATTTATTCACTGCAGCAAAACGTGAGTATTATCCAGCGCTCTGAGAGAAAATGCCTGGACGCTCAGGTCTCGGGTTAGGCCTCCCGGATCGAGGGCAGGAGACGTTCACATCGTAGTACAGTTCTTAATGAGGAAGGTTTTGTTTAAAGTCTATTATGGATTATTAAGTCTGAAGAATTTCTACTTAATCTCACGGCATACCTTGATTATGAGGGAAATAAATCTGATTTTTAAAATAATATCAATTTTACACAGTATAAGAAACATTTTGTTATTAAGGGCTGCTATTAAAAAGCAAGGTAATGTATTGGCTCTTACTAAAATTAAAAAAACTAATAAGAAATGGAGGAAAATTTCAGGATGGGAAAAGCACTTCTTTGAAAATTAAGTATAATGAGGTGTACAATAAACAAGGTCAAACAAGTTAATTCGAAGGGATGAAATGAGGTGAAAAGGAATTAAAGGCGATGGCCGGGACAGATTTATTCACTTACTGTGTGATGGTGTCATTAAGGAAGCCGCCCGCGTGACGGGCTGGGACAGCGGCGGCGGCACGAATGGTCTTTGGCCACGAGAGGCGCGCCGGGTCTCCTCAGCGCTTATTAATGGTGTCTCCGAGCACCTTGGAGCAGGCAGGAGGCTTTCCGCGCGGAATGTGCAGCCGCTGCCTTTGACGCGGGGGCTTCTCAGCCAGGGGTGACTTCAGCCCCTCGGGTTCCCGCCCGGCCGGGGCTGCGGAACCGGGGCGCGGGCTGCCGCGGACATTGGAGTCACCCCATTCTGGGATTTTAAACCGGGATGTAAATGAGTTTGAAACCGGTCTTTCTTCCATTTTCTCTTTTCCAAATGTAACGCAGTGAAATGACAGAGATTAATCACGGCCGTAACTGCAGCTGGAAAGCGGGCAGCGCCGCGAGGGGCCCCCACGGCCGCGTCCTTCTTGACAATCACGCTTCACTCCAGCCACCATTGTTCTGGCTGGCGAAGTCCCCCACCAGGGCACGCGCCCGCACACCTCTCCTCCCGGGGAAGCGGGGGCAGAGGTGGCGTGGGCTGCAGCGCCCCATGCCCAGGAGTCTGCCCGGCCCGTGCCCACGGGGGCGCAGCGCAGCCCACCCCCGCTCCCCCGCCCTCGTCTTCTGCCTCCTGGGCCGGGCGGGGCTCGGACGGGCGTCGGGTGAGTCGGGCCTCCCCGGCATCTGAAGGGGGAGCGGCGCCCCGTCCTGCCCCCCTGGACCGCCCCTGGCACCGGCGGGCGCGCGGAAGGGCCTCGCTGGAGCGCGGGGGCGCCGGGTGGCCCGGGGGGCAGAGACGAGCCGGCGGGAGGCGCCTCCCAAGGCTCCGGGATCCCAAAGGCCTGTAGCCCGCGGGTGAAGCCGGCGCGGCCTCCGGATGTGGGGGGAGCCGAGGCGAGGCGCGGGCGGTCCGCGGGAGCGACTGGCCGGCGGCCCCCACGCCCGGGGCCCGCGCCCCTCACCGCGGCCTCCCGGGGCTGCTCCGGCCGCGCGGGCCACGCGCTGCTGACCCCGGCCTCGAGCGACCGCCGCGGACACCAGCTGCAGGCCGAGGTGGCGCGGGGGAGCCGGGGCTCGGACTGGGGGGCCCGCCGGGGGAACCGGGGCTCGGAGGGGTCCCCGCGGAGCGGAGAGGGCGCCGCCCGCGTCCCGGTGGAGGGGGACCTCGGAGCCGGACAGCCAGTGACCGCGCGCTCCGGGGACCACGCCCCACCCCGGGTCCCTGGAGGGGCACAGCCGGGAGCCCCCTAAATGAGGTCCACGCAAAGCTGGAAAGTGACGCTGGTGGCGGCGTGACACGGGCGGGGCCGGAGGATGGATGCGGGGGAAGGGCCGCGGGCTGGGCGCAGGGTCCAAGGCGGGGGGCGCCGGCCAAGGCGCGGGGTGCGGGGCGCGGGGCGCGGGGCCGAGGCGCGGGGAGCGGGCGCGGGGGCCGAGGCGCGGGCCGGGCCGCGTTTCCTCCCAGGTGTCTGAGGCGTGATTTCATCCGTGAACCATAATCAACTTCCTTAATGAAATACGTAATTAACATATTATAATTGTGGTAAAGATGATTTTGACAGAAATCATTTTCCATATCTAATACTATGCTAATTTAATCTGTTCCTCCCTCCCCGACATGACCTTTAGTGATTAAGTTTCACGGCGGGGTTGTTGTGGGCTGATGGATGGATTCCGGGGCGCCTCTGCCCGCGGGTCCCCGGCTCGTCCGCGGGAGGCGCCCCGCGGGGAGGCGCCCGGGAAGCCCGCGCAGTCCGGGGGTCCCGCGGCTGCCGAGTCCAGGCCGCCGGGCAGTGACTGCGCTCCAGCAACCCCCCATCACTGGCCACCCCAGACGCGAGGAGAAGGCCCGCAGCAGGAATTGGGGGGTGGAAGTGGGTGGTGGGGCCCTTGGGGGTGGCCCGCGCCTCTGCGTCCTGCAGAGTGATGCCCACCAGCACCGCCACGCGCGGAATCACGTCAGCGTGAAAGGCACAGGAAGAGACGCCGCAGGGATCCTGCCCTCACCCCCCACCTGTCCCCTTCTGCCTTGTCCTCCCCGGCTCCCCGCTCCCAGAATCAACAGTCACAGCCCCAGGTGACACACAGAGGGGACAGAGCGGCCGCCTTGCCCCTGCCCTTAGCTGTGACCCCGCGAATCTCTGAGGGATCCAGGGCGCTCGCTGGGGAGCTGAGGCCGTGGGGACCACGGGACTCGGGTGAGTGATCCTTGGACATCTCTCCTCCCTTGCTGGCAGCGGTGTGGCGGCGCCCAGACACATCTCCAGCGGGCCTGGAGCAGCCAGTTCCTTACACACAGCCCCCTGGTCAGCATGTAATGCACCTCCCGTCCTGCGCCTGCCTTGATGATGCCCTTTCCCTGGCTCCCTTCCCTGGACAAGCACAGTGAGTGAGACGCGGGACACACAAGTCCCTGTTTCACCAAGGTCCCGGCGGCAGCAGGCTATGAGCAGCTCATTTCAGAGATGTCAAACACTACACGTGGGTTGTCAGCTGCAGCTGGGGCTGCCATCCCAAACCCCCATTTTGTTCAAGGGTCAACTGTACAAGAATTTCGTGAAGAAACACGTGACGGGTGGTGTGCACTCTGAGCTGTTCCGCCTTGCCCTATTCACATATCTGTCTGATCCTGTCTATTAAAATATAATCAAGAGGGGTCCCCTCCTTGGTGGTCTAGGGGCTAAGTCTCTGCGCCATCACCTCTATGGCCTGAGGAGGAGCTGACCCCTATGGCGCAGCAGACCTCTCCTGTCTCGTCCTCTGCTCCCCTCAGCAGTGTGTCTCAGTAGATCCACCGGTTCTTCGCCCTGCTCTGTCTCTGGTGAACCCTCTCACCCCTCAGCACCTCTGGCCTGCACCCCAGTTCTTCTATACCAAAAAAATAAAAAGCCAACCAAGAGCAACTAAATAGATTTCGCTATGAAGTGTCATTCCAGACTGAGGCTGTCAGGTTCTACCAGTCCGTTCTTCTGGTTTTCACATATGATTCTGTTCTAGCAAGTTCTTCCAACAACAAGTGCCGGCTGCGTGTCACTGGTCTTGTCATCCTGGGAGAGCACACTCACGATGGGAGGCAGGACCACGGTGCTCTGGTTCAGCCTGTCAGTTCATGAGCGGATGGACGTCGTCAAGTCATTATTTCTGCCTTTCATCTCACATGTAAAATGGACTCAAAATTAAAACCTCTGTATGAGCCGTGTTTGTGAGTCATAACTAAAGACAATTGTTATGAAAAGAGTATAAATCAGGTATGTTCAACATTGAAAAGAGAAACATTTGGAAAAATCCAAATTCCATATTAGCCACCAAATTTTTTCATCTGCATCACAATTTGGGGGTCGGTAAAGAAGTAATTGACCGAGAGTTGTATTGGACACTCTTCGCATTGGTTTTTACTCGGAGCAATTGCAGCATTTCACACCTGAGCTGATTTGTCTGCATCTCCATAAGATCATCATCAGCTGACTCTGCCGTTCTGGGCTCATGCACGTAAACAGGAAATTGGTAAAAAGGCCTCGTCTCTCCAGATGAAAAGGCTGCACGTGCAGTCCGTTGAGAGCACATCGAGAAGTTCAGTCACATTTGTCTTCCGATCACTGTTAGATAAACTGGATCTATTCAGCAGTTCCGAAAGCTCAGACTTGCCGTCTTCCATGTAGAGATGGAAATCGTGAAGATGGGCTTTATGGCGGCTGAGACCCCGTCACGGCCCCAGCTGCCCCGTCAGCATTTGGGATTGTTAATTTAGAAGTGCTTTGCAGATTACAGACTCTGTCGTTTCAGAACGATGTTCAATGCTTACCGTTGATGAACACAGACCTTTTTTTTTGTTCCCTCTCATAATCATTTTTAAAAGAAGTCAAGATAGGATTTAAACTGCATCAAGTTGGAAAAAGTCTTTCAGTCAGTGCATGTCAATCCCTGTCTTTTGAAGGGAGCGTTATTAAGGCCCAGTCATTGTTGATGCGATCTCAGGCGAAGACAAACGCACACCAGGCCTTTGGTGGTTTTCCGCGTCTCCCGCCTTCCTGTTTCTGTGCCTCCTTTACTGCGTTTGGTGCCAGATATATATTTTCAGTCTTAAAATTTTAATTCCT